ATAGTGTGCTGTGACACTATTGTCTTTTTATGTCTGATTTTGTAAGCAAATAGTTTTTAAGTGAAGTGAAACTTGGGGTACACAAGACAAATCAGACTCCTGAAAGGCTGGAGTCTGTAAAGGTTGAGAGCCACTGACGTACACTACAGCCTATGTTGGCAAAATGTATGTTGCTTGGGGTGTGAATATTCCATCCATCTGAGCAACATAGTAATATCGACATAAGAACTCATGTGCACAGCTTCTCCCATTAACAGCTTCTGCTGTTTGCAGAGGTGGTTTTTTTTAATGACAGTGGGAAAGCTCTCCCCTGTTGGCATAAAGCATCTTCACCAGACACGCTGCAGTTGTATCGGTGCAACTGAGCTGCTACAGTGCTGTACATAGAGACGTGGCCTTATAAAGCCAGCTGGTTTGCCCAGTAACCCGACCCAATCCAACAAGCCAATAGTCTGGGAAATTTCTCCCTAACAAAAGTCATCTCTAGAGGGAACACATGATTATTTTTTTCAAATGGGGGGGATCTTTATTAAGAGATATTTTTAGCCTATGAAGTATGCACACCTCTAGGGACAGCAAATTCAAACAACAAGTGCGGAGGAGAGAGAAAACAGGACTTGTTTATTATTACCAAGTAGCCATAAAGGAAGCATTCTTATCAGCTGGCAAATTTTCTAAGTAGTACAAGTCTATGGGAAGCAATCCGTAGTTGAACGAAGTCCCACCAGTGAATATACAGCATAATGAGGGAAGCCTAAGAGGTACAATTATGAGATAACAATACCCCAGGAGTTACTCCAGCACTAAGTGCAACTTTACTGCTGTACTATCCTCGTATCAATTGTTGTGGTGTGAATAACTGCTTTTACAGATGTTCTTTCAAATCATCAGTTATTCTAATTTGAGAAAAATCAGCATATCAGAGAGCACTGACATTTCAAAATTACAAGCCACTAGACTAAATGAGATTTGTTGTTTTGCTGTAGTAACCCATTATACTGTGCAAGGTCGATCTATTCTTTCAGTGAAATTGAGATGCACTAATTGAAATGGGATACTGAACCTTTAATAATGCAGACTGCACCAAAAGAAATGCCCTCCATACAGATATATCACTTATTTTAAGTCTTCTCAGTGCTACCAATACAGTCCATTTTGTTATTAATGAGGTGCTTAAATCTAAACAGTGTATGCTAAGCAAAACTAAAATACTGGGTTACTATTTCATAAAAGAGGAGTAGTGTTTATATTTATATGAAACTAAACACATGGTGTAAGGTGGAATTATGGTTTCCTAAAATATTAAGCAGATTTATGATCTAATCAGAAAAAAAGTCAATAGAATTTCAATATACCATCTTCTGTACTATATAAGTCACATCAAATCTACCTCCCCTTGAAAAACTTCCATACAGCAAGTCAAACTATGGAATTCATAGCCAGAAGAGATCACAGAGACTAAAAACTAGCAAGATTCAAACGGGCTTTAAACAAAGAAGGATGGTCCAGTAGTTAGGGCACTAGCCAGAGACCCAGGAAAACTGGGTTCAAGTCCCTACTCCACCACATCTTATATGGCCTTGGACAGGTCACTTACTGTCTCGGTACCTCAGTTCCTCATCTGACAAATAGTACTTCCTTACTTCACAAGGGTGTTGTGGGGAGAAATACATTAAGAATTGTTAGGTGCGCAGGTACTAGTGATGAGGCCAATAAAAGCAGTTGAGATAAATAGTTGCACCTAACAGCTAGAAGACCGCATGTTAAAAAGGGGCTACTTGCATCCCTCCACAAGCACCCCATGACCTTCTTCCCCATATCATGGGCTCTGTATGCACCCCCACCCCCATTATTATTTTTCTTTTCTTTCTGTCTAGGATGATTCATTCAGGGTGTCACAATTTTAAAATGTAGTCGGAGGATGGGCAGAGCTGAGGGATTTGGGGACAGGGAAAGGAGGAGTGGATGATGCTGGACAGTGTTAAAGCTGCTATCAACTGGTTCTTTGAGCTGTAGATAATTAGAGATCGGGCTGACACTGCTGGATCTGCTAACTAGATGCCAGGGGCTTGTGTGTCCTCCATTGCCCCCTTCTGGTTTTCTTATTTTCACCATAAAAATATAGTATGTGTCTCATTGATGCCTAGAACATTCCCTGAAATTTTAGAACTGATTGGGTGTGGCATTCAAAAGTTATTGTGTTACAAACAAACAGGCACCATCAAGCTGAGTGTAGGGACTTGCTTTGCACCAAACTGTCCAATTAGAACAGTCAAAGCTGACAACAGTTTTGGAAGAGATATTAGACTTCCTTCTTCCAGGCTTAAACCAATCTGTTACGGATTAAGAAGAGACCTGATGTAGAGGGCAGATTAACCCATATCTGCCAAATATGTGGTTTCTTCGACCTTCCACTGAATCATTAGGAAGACAGTTTGCCACTGTCAGAGACAGGATACTGGACTCAAGGGGCCACTGGTGTAATCAAATATGGTAATTTTTATGTTCCTGAAATATTTCCTGTTGAAAGGAACAGGGGTTATTTCAGCAGTGTCACGTTCACATTAAGATATAAAAGTCATAATAATGCACTTCATATTTGTCAACAGCAATGAGATTGCACAGCTCACAATGCCAAATTCTCCATACCACCTGGTTAAGAAGAGAGAAAGAACATACAGACAATGCTGTATAGAAGGTGATATATACACATGGATGCAATATAGAAACCTAGATAGATACATCCCCATGCCATGGGAATGGAAACAAAAGAGACTTTCAGAAAGGAAGAAATTGCCCTCCTTGTTCAGAATGCTGGTGAGTCCATCTAGTCCAGAACAGAATGCACAGAGGAAGATAAAAGAATCCCTATCCTGGTGAACTGTGGAATAAACTGCTCCTGGGAAAGTTTCTTCCAAACTTCAAGCAGTTTTTGGTTTACTCTCTGAAGCCACAGGATTTAAACTCCATATATCATCATATAATGGAACTACAGATGTCTCACTACACATATGTCTAATCCTTTTGAATCCCACTCAACTCTTAGTTTCAATCATAACCCAGTGGAACTCATAGTCATAAAGTAATTATGTACTGTATGAAAAAAAAAGAGTACTATTTTCTCTCAGCTTTACAATGCAATTCAAAGGCAATACTTTTATGTTTTCTGGTCTCCGCATAGTAAGAAGGGGTAAATAGAAGCACTTTCCTTACCTTCTCCATACTAGTCAATATTTTATATACCTGTCATGTTCCCTTTAATTTATTTGACTTTTCTTTAAAGATACCAGTCCCTATCTTTTCATCTTCCCCTAAATACAGAGCCCTAAATACATGTTCTCATCATTTTCATTTCCTGTTTCTGGTAGGATGACCAGACAGCAAATGTGAAAAATCGGGACAGGGAGTAGGAGGTAATAGAAGCCTATATAAGAAAAAAAGGCCCAAAAATCAGGACTGTCCCTATAAAATCAGGACATCTGGTCACCCTAGTTTCTTGACCTCTTCTATTTTTCTTTGGGGGTGGGAGGAGCACAGACACACACAATTGCCACCAATTCCTCATCAGTGCAATTTTACTCAACTCTGGCTCAATATTACCCTTTTATTTAATATCAGAACAAGAACCATTATTCTTCATAGATGTCAGAAATATCCCTCAGAAATTAATCTAGCTTTTAACAGTCTCAGAACAAATTTAAAGTATTATTTTTCCTAAACACTTTGTTAAAATAGAAACTTCAGAGATCTATTCAGGGCTTCAATTGAAATTTAGGAACCTGCAGCTCAAGGAAACAGTGGAATAAACCATAATACCACAACAGTTTTCCTGAGTGCTCTGTACGGGTGATTAGATTAACGCCTATGTAAAGAGCTCTATCTTTCCATGCTGGATGCACTATCAAATTTCATGACAGTCTGGATATAGAATATCTTTACGTATTATAAACATGAGAGAACAGTGACTAAATAAAGTGTTTTCACCCTGTCAGCAGAGCAAGACCAACTCATAGTTAAAGAGGGAATCATAGTTATCAAGGAAGGAAGCTGTAGTGGTGCCATGGAAAGTTCTTGCATTCTTACAGACCTAGTTAACAAAAGGCACTGTAAATCAGTCACACAACAATCTGCATGTCAGTCAATCCAGAATGACCTTCTCACTGTGAAAGTGTTACTCCCATGGATCATCATAGCCACCGTCCTCATCTGCAACCGCATACCAATCAGCATAGCCTATACTGGGCAAGTCATTTCCCCTCTCATTACGCTGAATGTTTGCACTGGCCCGATCTCTATACACAGTAGGGCATGAAGTGCTACCCAAGGAAACATATGCATGTCCACAGGGATGAATTAGTAATACAGAGACATCTGATCCAAATCAGAGAGACTGCAAATCCCCAGCCCGTTTCAGCGCTCAGCAGATGCCACAGACAGACAGATAATTGCAAAGCACGCGTGGTTCAACACCTGAATGGCCTGCACTGCACACCACCTTTCTAACGCACAAAACGAGAGGCGATTGTGGTGTCATCTGCTCAATCAAGCTCTTGTTTACGAGCGCTTGTCTCCTTTCGGTCCAGAGGAAACCAATGCGATTAAGAGATTAACAGGGGAAAAGAGGCGGGGAGTAAAAAAAAAGAACCCCCCCCATCCAAACAACCACACAATGCGCGCCCGTTAATCTGCAACAGTTTAAATCTCTTCCAGCGCCTGCTCCATTGCACCGAACCTCCCTTTGCAGCAGTGCCAGTGAAGAGGAACTGAGATTTGGGGCATGTGTTTTGTTAATTTCCAATCCATCTGCAAATCGCACGAGGGGGGGCATTATTCTAAAGGGGCAGAAGGGGGCGGGTGGCTGGGTAAAGTTAAAAACCCACAATCGCTGAGAGGAGGAAAATTGGCCGGTCCTTCCTCTTTTGTAACTAGATGCTTCCCGCACGGGAAAGGAGAAATTCAGAGGGTGCCCGTTTACCAAGCGATCAGCGAGGGCTTCTTACCTCGATCCAGTGCCGCGCCTCGGCGAAGGCTGGCTCCGGACGGGCAGCGTCCTGCTGCAGAGGCTGAATTTCTTCCAGCTCTAGCCGAGGACTGGCCATTTGCAAAGCCTTGCCGGTGCCTCCGCTGCAGGAGGCTCGCACGGAAGAGCCGAGTGACCCCCCCAGGCAGATCCTCTAGCTAGGGGAGCTCGAGGCCGCTGCTCCCTGCCTCGGAGCAGCTTGCAGCCCGGCTGGCTGCTGCTCGCCTGCGGTAACCTCTCCGCTAGTGTCCCAGTCCTGCCGCCCCGCTGGGAGCCAGCCTCCTTCCTTCCCCGCCCCCCTGCAAGGCGAGCTGAGCGGCCAGCTAAAAATAAAAACTGACTGTCACTGATGAAGCCGCTTTGCCTTCAGCCCATGCAAATGCCCAGGCCGCCGCCGCTGCCGCCGCCTCCTCCCGGCCGCCGCCGCCCCCAGCAGCAGTAGCAACAAACAGCAGCAATCACATGCCTCATTATGCACTGAGGCTGGGGCTAGCGGGGGCGCTCCGCCCGCGGAGCAAAGATGCTTCTGCAGCAGCAAGGGAAGAGCCCAGGCGCACCTGGCACCCAATCAGCCTCAGGCAGGGCTGGGGCCGCCCACAGTCTAGAGCAACCTGCCTAGGCGGAGGAGCGGGCCCCGTTTTACTTCAAATGTTGTTCGGAACCCGCTCTCCGCAGCCAGGTCCGGTTCAGTAGGGTAACGAGGCACTGGCAGCCCTGGTTATGTTGGTCCCTGCTCCATGGCAGGTTACTGCGCTCACGATGAAAATACAAGGATAAAGGGTGGGGACACCGGGACACAGGGTGGGATTTCATTGCCCAGCTCCAAACAAAAACTATGGGGCTTATCCTAGTACCGCCAAGCTTTGTCCCTTCACCTCGGTGCTCCCGCCCCTTTTCCTGAACTGGGGAAAGGACTCTCGCTAATCACTTGAGATGCTCTGTCTTGGCTTCCCTTCTTTCTGTGGCCAGGTTTTTTTTCACAGTAACGGGGTTTAACTGAACTGCTTCCCTGAATTTTTGCATTATTATTATCTGTTTCCCTTGTTTTACACACTAAATTTCTGAATATTCAGCCACACTGGGAAAGTCCTTGGGGTGTCGTGGGGGTGACTTATTTTAGTGCATATATAAATTATTTACCAAATTTAGTGATTTTTCCAGGCTTTTCAAGATTTATGTTGTTTGTTTAGGCAATGGACCTAGACTGGTCAGTTTCCTTTCTGTTTATAGTCAGTTTTCCATTGAGGGGCTCATGACTTAGCACAGTTCTGTTGTTTTTGTTCCAGTCCTGAAGAGCAATGTTTTAAGGGCCATTATCAATATTTTAATGGCTGGAAATACATGCTACTGTCCTTACAAATAGCACTTAAGATTCCTATGCCTAATGAAGATTGAAGGGAGGAAAAATTTCTCTGCTTCCTCAGTTTGTGTATTGTGTACTTGGTCCTGCTAGTGAAGGCAGGGGGCTGGACTCGATGACCTTTCAGGGTCCATTCCAGTTCTAGGAGATAGGATATCTCCATATATAGTCTATAGTATAGTATAGGCACCACCTTGTGTATTTGTTTTGTGTATTTGACACCATCTTGTATAAAGTCATTTTCAGTCTTTAGTGTGTGTATAATCAGTTTGGACCTAATCCTGCAAAGGGATCCAGGTCAGCAATACCTTATGGTCATGTGGATTTGTTTACAGGATTCCTTGCTTTTCTCTGTGGATTTTTCTCACAGCAACAGGAGGGGCGGGTGGAGGAAATTAAACATTAAAATGGGATTGTAAAACTATGAAAATTTGCAAGGGAACTGATAGGTTGATGTAGTGCCTAAAACTACTTTTAACACATCTTTTTTAAATTAACTAGATATCAAGTTGATTGTGTCCCCTTTCATTGAATCATAGACTATCAGGGTTGGAAGGGACCTCAGGAGGTCATCTAGTCCAACCCCCTGCTCAAAGCAGGACCAATTCCCAACTAAATCATCCCAGCCAGGGCTTTGTCAAGCCTGACCTTAAAAACCTCTAAGGAAGAAGATTCCACCACCTCCCTAGGTAACCTATTCCTGTGCTTCACCACCCTCCTAGTGAAAAAGTTTTTCCTAATATCCAACCTAAACCTCCCCAACTGCAACTTGAGACCATTACTCCTTGTTCTGTCATCAGGTACCACTGAGAACAGTCTAGATCCATCCTCTTTGGAACCCCCTTTCAGGTAGTTGAAAGCAGCTATCAAATCCCCCCTCATTCTTCTCTTCTGCAGACTAAACAATCCCAGTTCCCTCAGCCTCTCCTCATAAATCATGTGCTCCAGCCCCCTAATCATTTTTGTTGCCCTCTGCTGGACTCTTTCCAATTTTTCCATATCCTTCTTGTAGTGTGGGGCCCAAAACTGGACACAGTACTCCAGATGAGGCCTCACCAATGTCGAATAGAGGGGAACGATCACGTTCCTCGATCTGCTGGCAATGCCACTACTTATCCAGCCCAAAATGCCATTAGCCTTCTTGGCAACAAGGGCACACTGTTGACTCATATCCAGCTTCTCGTCCACTGTAACCCCTAAGTCCTTTTCTGCAGAACTGCTTCCTAGCCATTCGGTCCCTAGTCTGTAACAGTGCATGGGATTCTTCCATCCTAAGTGCAGGATTCTGCACTTGTCCTTGTTGAACCTCATCAGGTTTGGCCCAATCCTCTAATTTGTCTAGGTCCCTCTGTATCCTGTCCCTACCCTCCAGCGTATCTACCACTCCTCCCAGTTTAGTGTCATCTGCAAACTTGCTGAGAGTGCAGTCCACACCATCCTCCAGATCATTAATAAAGATATTGAACAAAACCCGCCCCAGGGCCGACCCCTGGGGCACTCCACTTGAAACCGGCTGCCAACTAGACATGGAGCTGTTGATCACTACCCATTGAGCCCGACGATCTAGCCAGCTTTCTATCCACCTTATAGTCCATTCATCCAGCCCATACTTCTTTAACTTGCTGGCAAGAATACTGTGGGAGACTGTATCAAAAGCTTTGCTAAAGTCAAGGAACAACAAGTCCACTGCTTTCCCCTCATCCACAGAGCCAGTTATCTCCTCATAGAAGGGAATTAGGTTAGTCAGGCATGACTTGCCCTTGGTGAATCCATGCTGACTGTTCCTGATCACTTTCCTCTCCTCTAAGTGCTTCAGAATTGATTCCTTGAGGACCTGCTCCATGATTTTTCCAGGGACTGAGGTGAGGCTGACTAGCCTGTAGTTCTCCGG